TTTTAAAAGGGGTCGGGGGCATTTGAGATTTTCCATTTAAATAACATATACAAATTTTTTTTTATTAAAAATATTATTATTGAACCTTTCTCTAAGAAATGACCCTGAACACTATACCTAGGTCAGAAATATTACTGACATATTTAATACTCTTAATTGTATCTAAGACAACCACCTTAATTTCTTAGAGAATTTAATACCCTACAAGAATATGCCTAGAACAAAATTTTTATCTCAAACGTTTCAATTATAACATTTTTAATGAAAAAAATAATAATTTACATGTTGTTTAAGTGGACAATTACAAATGCCCACCGACACTTTTTAAAATTGGAATAAAAATTTTTCCAAATGGTAGAATTTTCTTATTAGCAAATATGTCCTTTTAAAGCCATAAATTATTTAGGTTAATTCATTTGGCTTACCCTAATGTATGTACTATATCAAAATCTTGTCCATTGATTATAGCCAGCTGTGACTAACATTTTCGCGGCGGAAAAAGTTGCTGGAGCTAACAATCTGCGGATTATATGAAATCTGGTAAATCCACCATAAACTAGATACTCACCATAAGCCAAATCTTATAATATACCCACTGTAGGAGGATTTACAAGCACCGTCCATTTGTGGATTTAGGGTAGCATTTATGTATAAACACGAAAAGGAGTTACCCATACGTTCGGACGTCTGAATTTGGGTCCACCGCGAAGATAAAGCGGCTGTGTAAAATGGCGTTGATCAACGAAACCAGCTCCGAGAAAATTAGGTAGGATCCATCCCAGAAGTTCGATACCAAACTAAGCTTCAGACAAGGTGAGTCTCTTTCTTGTGTTTCTTGTGTTTCTTGTGTTTTCTTTGTGAGGTTCCCCTTTGCGATAAACCTACCTGCTTCTTTGGTGCTAACTTCATTAATTGAGAATGCCCTCAATTTGATTGCAGCGGTTCCTGTAGTTTCCTTTTGCTAAGCCGTTTGAAGACTCGTGAGAGACTTTTGGTAGCTTGCCTATTCGGTGTCCTTATGTAATCCCCCATCTCAAAAAGCCTCAGCTCATTTAAAGGTGGAGTGCATTTTTAATCGTACATACATATGTATGGATATAGTTTTATTTTGATTTCGTGCACAACAGATAAATTACAACACATTTCTTTAAATCAGTGCATTAACTTAACCTCTAAATTTTGTTAACCATAAATTTTCTACAGTCCACTAATTTTAAGCCGGAATTCCGAATGCAAACATTTTCTGGCGCCAATTGTCTACACATTTCGACGGTCCATTCCTTTCTAAACTGGCAGTGCAATATTGTTTCCTAAGTTACTGTTTTAATTACACTAAGTGTCGGCCGTCGTGGCCTTTTGGGTGGTAGGGTAGGGCGGACGTAACAACCATTGCTAATCGACAATCATCAATTTCCGTTTTACGCTGTTTCTACAAAGCTCCGCTCGCGGCAAATACTACTCAACTGATGCCTTTGCTGCCGCACGCCAGCAGGCAATCCAACAAAGAGTTTCGTTTATAGCTGGCCAGCGGTGGTGCACTTCCTATTTGCTACTCACACCGCAGTTCCATTAATCAAGTCGTAGTGGTCAGCGCTGCTCGCATTGATGCCGCCGGTGGCAGTTGGGCCACCCAGCATCGATATGCCACTGTAGATGCTGGCATGTGAGCGCCGTCGTTCGCGTTCAAGTTCCTCCGGGTCAAAGTTTTCGCCCAACATGCCACTTGGCCGTCGCTGCTCATCGAACGCATAGCCGCGCTGAAACTTTGGTGGCATACTTACCACACTGCTACTGCCGCCACCACTGCCGATGCCGCTGTCTGCGCCGCCGCTGGTATTGCTGCTGAATGAACGCGTCAAGAGTGTGTGCGCGAGATGCGGAGCTTTTGGATGTGGACGCGTAGCGGGCGCGCCTAACTGCTGCATTGTATGAAAGTTGGGCGTGTAGCCGGACGGTGAGGACGGTATGGCAGCGGGCCAGTGCACTGTTGATTGTTGTAGACGATTATCATTGTTCATATTGTGGTTTATTGAGCTCTGAGGCCGTTGTTGTCGCCGCTCGTCATAGTTGCTGCCGGGCTGGGCCGCGATAAGATCCTCATTGGATTTGGATTGCAAAGCGAAAGCCGAGTTGTAAATAGCCGCGGCTGGTGCTTGAGATAAGTAAAGATTTGGTTGTTGCTGCTGCATCATCAAATTGTTCAGTCGGTTATGGCTGCTGCTGTAGCTGTTATGCAGCGCAGAGGCGCTTGCATGAAGCGAGCCCGAACCGATGCTATTTTGCGAGTTCGTCTGACTTTTTAGAAACGATCGCGGCAGTGTACGGCTCTGGTATACTTGGGTGTTCGGATGATAGTTCTGGTGCAGACGGTTTTGCGAACCACAATAGGCACTTTTGGCAGCAGCGTAGTACGATTCGCCGTTGCTAAAGCTGGGCGGCGGAGGCCAGATTTCGATTGCAGAGTCGCTGCGTTCGACGCCAAAGGAACTTTTCTGCGAGAACTTTTCGGGCGGGTATAAAGTGGCCAGTGAGAGATTATAGTTCAGCTTGCGTAGATGTGACGGCTCGACGAACATTGAGGAACGGCGCAAATTACGAAATGTTGGGTTAGCCACAAGTTCAGGATTATCTGTACTTTCACAGAAGAACAGAAAAGGTAAAAAGGTAAGTTCTGAAGTTAATATGCTACTGAAAGGATTTGTTTTAGCACCCTTGACTAAAGTGAGCGACTCACCTTGAATAACGTAAATGTGTTCTTCGTCATCTTGCATTTGCGAAAATCCGCCTTCCCCTTCATCGTCGTCTTGCGCTGCTCTGTTATTTCGCTCATCAGCTACACGATTTTCTCTGGCAAAATCTCCTCGCCCATTACCATTCCGCTGGCCGCTTTCAAAACGATTTGTGGCTTTGTAGAGACGACGTCGTTGCGTCTCATTGTCAGATGTCGTCATGGCATCTTCTTCACTGGCAATGAAGTAAATGTTTTTCGGTTTTGGACGCATTCCAGCGCGCTTGCAAAACTCCTGAAAAAGTTCATCCTTTGTCTTACGTATGCCACGCTTCAAACCACACAGTCGCTGTGGCTCATCATCATCGTAATTACTGTCCGACTGGCTGTCGGCCAATTGGCGCCGCCGTCGCTGATTTCTTTCATTCTCGCTTTCACCGCCGTCGCGTTCACTTTCGCTTAGTGTCGCTGGGTCAAGAGGTCGTGTGTTTGTCGCCATGTTGCGACGGCTTTTGCGCTCAATGTGCGGTGTTGTATGTCTGGCGTTGTTGCCGGGATAAATATCTGTGGTAGTCGAGACACTGCGGGTGAGTGGATAGTCGCGTGTGAAGTCGCCAAATTGGGTGAGCTGCTGCGGCATGCGAGGCAATGTTTGTGAGGTGCCGCCCATTTTAACAGCAGAAGGAGGCGGCGGCGGTAAACCGGAGTCAGAGTCGGTGTAGAGTTCATTAAGCGACTTGGCAAAGTTCTTCGAATGCAAATTGCATTTTGGTTGATGCGACTTTTCGAAATAATACCTGTGTGGAAAGAGAGAGAGAAAACAAATCATATGAATAAAAATGGCGAACTGATTTATTGCCACTTAGTTATTGGGTCAGTCAGTCGGTTAGTCGGTCAGTCGCTCGGTGGTTGGTGGTCGGTCAGTAAACACTGCATAAATGTGCAAATGCTAAGGGATTAGAAAAAGCCAAAATATTTCACCTGCGCTCCGATTCATTGCTAACAAATGCCTCTGCTGCATTCGGATGTTTGCGGCATGGCACAAAGCCCGGCATGTGCTGCAGCAGTTTTTTGCTATCCAATTCCCTTTCGGCTGCGGGTGACGCCAGACACACATTGTGCACTTGATGGAGGTTATTGCTGCTTAGCCGGGGGCCCTGTTGTGGTTTGCGCACAATGGGCGCGACTGTTGCCGACGATGAAGAATGCTTGTAACTTTTGTAGGTGTGACTGTGGGGAAGTTCGCTCTCTTTCAGTTTTTCCTGCAGATTCGTGATATTGAAACAGGGCAGGCGCTGTTAAAAATGAAAATGGATGTTCACCATATATGTATGTATGTAGTACTTACATAGATAAATATGTTGAAATATATATATACATATAGATCTTTCTATGTACGACTATATATGTATGCAATAATGTATATTAGGGCGCGTCACTCTGCATATAAAAAAAACGGTACTGGTTATCCATGAGAATTATAAAACGTATTATATTTTAAGACTTTCATTAAATATTTCAGAAAAATATAAAGACTTACGTGAGCTGGGCCGATGTGAAAACCCTTGCTAAAATCTATTTATTTTGATTCCGTTGATAAAAAGATCAGAAATTGTTTTGCACACCTCTTAAGCTTAAGCCATTCTATCGTGTTATTTGATATTATGGAAAAAATGTTTTTTTAAAACTAGTTTTATAAAAAAATATTTAAATTTTTGGAGATAAGCTCACGTAAATCTTTATATTTTTCGGAAAGTTTTTGGCGAACGCATTTGAATATAATAAATTCTTTAATTCCAGAAATGCCTGTGAAAAACTAAAGTCGGAATTCTATTGCTCTCACCCCCTAGGATTGTTCTATACCGCAAAATTTATACCTCATGTTTTTTTATAATTTCAAAATTTTTTAATACTAGCGATTTTCTACAGGGCGCGCCATTGCAGTTTTTGAGGTTTTCAAGGGTCCAATAATAAATAGTTAGTATTAAAAAATGGTTAATTAAATAATCGGGTATTAGTACTGAAAGTATTCTGAAGAGAAAAAAGTTTACCGATCGAAAAATACAGGGTTTCAAGAATTCTATATCATTTCTACGAAAAATTGTTTTTTCTAAATATTTTTTTTATTTCAATATAAAATTCCGACGTTACTTTTTTGGGGCCATCCTAATGCACATACATATGCATGCATGCATGCAAAGTATGACGATATTAAGCGGAACAGGAAACGGATGTCAGTGTTGACATGAAAGGCAATTCGGATACACCATTGGGAGTTGTTGTGGTTGAAATTTCGATAAGTGAAATCAATTCACATGCTGAATTTTCTGATTGAGTTTTTAACGGATGTGGAGTTTGCAAGGAGAAGGGAATATGTAAAACAAGGTTGAAATGTATGCAGAAAGAATTCGCCTTTAAAAGTTTTTCCTAATGTGTATTCATACAAAAGGGGTAAAAATCTCACTCGGATCTGTTCCCACAACGATTTTTCGCTTGAATCGAAGTTTCAAACAATATATATATTTTTGCAATATAAAACACTTTGAAAAGGTTGATTTTGAGACATACTCACATTGTAGTAACCAATTTCATGCAGACTTATATAGAGGAAAATATTCAAAAGTCCCACAAATTCAGTTGTTATGAATCCGATTACGAACAAAAAGAAACTTTGTCCATAGGTGACCTTGAAAAGTGGCGGCTGCAAAGTAGATCTCGATCTCAATTTCGAACCAATCTCGGCTTTTAAGATGGAAATATATGCAATTAATCCGATAAGCATCAATAAACCTGAAAAGGTAAAAAATAAATATCTTAAAACACAAAAAAAAATATATCCTTTTGTATCAAATAACATTTTAATACTATTTTAAAATTACTATAAAATGTGGCTTATTAAGTGTTAGCACACCAAGTAATACACTGGGTAACCAATTTTACACTTTTTCGCTTACCTCCAATGTGCATGCACAGGTTAAAGTAATGCATTCTGTAAACTTGAAGGTAAGTGGTGAATCTCGATTGGTAAGCACTTTTCGAAATTCACCACTTACCCATTTTTGGTGATTTGAAAACTTGGCATCATTTGTTAGTAATTTAAAAAAGCTGAACGATATTCTTAAACTGCACTGTGCAACAATTTTATGGTCATTGTTTGATGGCTAAATGATTCCAACTAAGGATGAAAGCTCTCTAAATCGTTTGGCATTCTCAGGTTAAATTATTTTTACTATATGAAGTTTGCAAGTTTTTGCCTGAGTGTTTTTAGAACAAGTAACCTTTTACCTCTCTCCCGAAAGGGTCTTCTGGGTCGCTTTTTGGAAAGTCTGAATAAGATGGTATTTGGAAGGTCGCTAACAAATACCTATTTTGGGTTTTTAAGTAAAAATTAAATTTTTAATTAATTAATTTTTGGCGTTTCATGATATTTTCAATTGTGCATGTGATCAATAAAAATAAAGCTCGATGTCCCAGAAAATATCAAGATGTATTGAATTTAACATATGCAGATATTGGGAAAAATAACAAAATTACTGGAAGAGGTGAAAAAGTTAAATTTCGCAGGCCTGTGTAATTCAAAAGAAAAACTGAAACAGCGAAAAAAAAATTCACTAAATCGTGTTTGTTTCAAACAAAAACATATATGATTTGGCCGCAAACGAATCATTTGTTTACTATAAACAGATTTTTTTTTGAGATTTTGTTCTGCACTTCATAGACGCTGTTTCTTATGTAATAATCTAGGATTCTTTTAATTGAACCTCAGATCTAAGATACTTTTTCTATTTAAATAATAAAAAATGTAATCCTCAAAAACTAAAACATATGTACATACTATACAAATGTAGGAGGAGTAATTGCTTTTATTCGTAATTTTTGTTTTGTTTTTCGCATTTTGAAATAAGAATTCTGATTTACCTTCAAGTACTTGCGTTGCACGCTTGCGTATGTGTAAGTATGTTTATAACCATATACATATGTATACCACTATGCATATACATATGCATGTATATATAACTCACCTGATACAATAAACATTATTCCTGCACTGAAGTAATATAAATTATTCTGATGTGAACATGTTGGCACGAGGAAGACGATAAAGCTGATTAGAAGAAAAATACCAGATGCCAGGAAAAGAGGACATGACTTCGTGACGGTGTCTGTAAAATATTTTGCAGTAATAATTTTCGCACATACGTACATATGTATGTATGTATGTATGTAAATTTACTCTATCAATAAATTATTTCATAGCTAGTTATTGGTAGAGTCGGTACTCTATACGCTTCTGCGTAAACATAAACATGCAATAAAGCACATGCATCACAAATACATATAAATGATGTAGAACTAAAGGAATAAACTAAAAATTTAATGGCAACTTTTCTATGCGTATTTGATGTATTTTCCTTTAAATACGCGCATACATACACATGTACATACATACAATCGCACTTATGCATTTGTGTGCATATTTTCTATTTAAATATCGTACAAATATTTTTGAAATTTCGGAGGAAACATTGCATTTATACTCGTAGAGGCCTACAAAAGGAAGGGAGTTTTGGGAATCTCAAGCGGTTTCTATTAGTCAATATATGGGCCGAGGTCAAAATTTTCCAACTTAACAAAATGGGTATTAAAGTAAAGGCTTTTGAAAAATATTAAACCTTGTTTTTTGCTTTTTAGTTGATTTTCATAGTTTCCGGAATATGCATAAAATAGTCTTGGAAAAAAATTTGACCCGTGGCTTATGCTTGTTAGCTGCTGGAATGGACTTGTATGCAATTTGGTTTGTTTTAAATAACTTTTACTATTTTTACTGACATATTCACTTATTGAAAAGCTGTAAAAATATTTTTTTTTGTTATTTAATTTTATTTATTTTATTTTTATAAAAAAGTTTATACTTTATTCTTTAACAAAAAAAGTAAATTCAAGTTTCAATCATTGAGCAATATTTGTATAGAAACAATTTTATAAATTTACGTAAATATTTCAAGATTTTTGATTATGCAGTTTTGTAGTGTCTTCATTTTTTTTTTTTTTTTTTTGTTGAAAGTGTTGCTCATTTCTTCCGTATAAAATAAAAATTGTCGAACATACTTTGTATGGAAGTAAATACACAACACCATTGTTGTCAAAAATTAATGGACTTATTTGAGAAAATATGCAAAACTACTTTATTACGAGTATATACACTGCGCAACTAATAAATTTAGGCGGTTTTTAGTAGAACCTTACATATGTACCACATCAATGGTTTTTTTGGTTTCGAGCCGCACTCAGTCTTCAATTACAAAATACATTGACCAGCTATATGAAATTTCGCTTTCTCATTTATTATTTGTCTAAACGCAAAGCACATCGTTTCAAATATTAACAATGGCATCAACATAAATATGTGATCATGCAAGCACATTCATAGCAAAACATACAAAAAATTAATTCAAAGTCCAATAAACAAACTGGCCTAATTTCTTTTGTCAGTGCAGATTTAACTATAATTGGCATACATTTGTTTTGGTGTGTGTTTTTTTTTTCTAATTTTGCAATCCATTTAGCCGTGCAATCATTTGGAAATTAGCGAATAGCCAAAAACCAAAAATTAATTTTTAAACAGCCTTTTAAATGAGGTTTCCATATAATTGCGAGTTTGGTTACTTGGATTCAGCCAACAGTGACAGTGAACTTTGGAATTCGCATACCTACAAACAAAGGTACGTGCAGTAAAATGTTGCGAAACAATAAGTACTAAATGAAATACATACATACAGATGGAGATAAATAAATTATTTATATATACATACATACAGGTTTGCATGCATACTAGGGTGGTCCATAAAAAAGTACAGTCGGAATTTTAATACTCTCACCTGCTAGGACTTTTCTACATCGAAAAGAGTACCCCTGTTTTTTTTTTTTTTTATTAATAAAAAAGTTTACAGGCCGTTCAGAGCAATGAAAGTTTTGCCTAGTATTTTAAAAAGGAAACTAAATATTACGTAGAAATTGTATAGAATACTAGAAAATCAATACTCAGTTTATTTTTTAAACATTTTTAAATGTTAATTATTTTTATGGGGTATTTTTTCCATTAAAATTAGGCATAATTTGCACCTCCATGCGGTATCCCAAAGTATCTCGAGTCTAATTGAGCCCCGTTAAGAACTGGCGGCTTAGCTATACAAGCCAAAGTTGTACCCGGTAGGTGGCGCAAATGTTGAGATATTTGTAAGATTGGTACTTACGGTCCAAATTAGCTTTTATGCGAAACCTATTTTAGCTACATTAAAATAAAAAGTAAACCCACGGTCGGTACACGGTGTGAAAAAGTGAACTTTTCTTGTGACAAAATTGAATATATCGAGACGAAAACAACTAGCCACGTAATATTGTCGAGTTTAGTCCAGTCACTAAAAAAATCAACTAGACACTGTACATAAATAAATGCAAAAAAAATGTTTTAATTTTTATTTTAAGCCACAATAAAAGGCAACTCGGTATGCTCGATGAGCAGAATTAACCCGTAATTTTTGCTTTTAATTTAAAAATAAATGTTTCGTGATTTTTCGATGCTTTCTCGGGATTTTTTCACGACTCCCCAACGATCTGCTTCCGGGATTCCTCGGGTTTTATTTTCGGAAATTTTTTGCACGAATTTTTTCGGAACGTTTCTAAAATTTGTTTGGAAGTTTTCGGGATACTTAGTGTTTTTTTCGGAAATTTTCGTAAATTTTTCGATACATTGCGGAATTTATTCGGAATGTTCGGGTGCCGTCGAAAGCTTCCGGTATTTATCGAAATTTCTTCGACACCTTTCGAGACTTATAAGGTATTTCATGTTCTAAATAATCGAAGTCAAATGTAAACAAACAGGTTTTTTGTTTTATTAGAAATCTACGACCTTTTTCTTCCAGACTTCCAGAAATTATTGTATTTACGATACTATTTTTTACAGTTTCATGGCAGCCGCTGTGGTGTATAGTGGTATAGTGGTTAGCCGTGCGCGGTAACATTTCGCAGGGCCCGGATTCAAGCCCTGGTTTATTTATTTATTTAGATATTTCACAAAGTCAATGAAACAAAGTTCTTACTGACTAATATCAAAAAAAAAGAATAAATTTTTTCTAATAGCAGTCGCCCGTGGGAAGAAAATGGCAAATCTGCAAGTGTATGTATTTCTGTCATGAAAAAACAGCTTCTCATTCAAATACAATCGCTGTTCGGAGTCGGCGTAAAACTGTAGGCCTAAACTTATTCGATTTCCATTCATCTACAGCGGACAGCCGGGTCACAAAAAATAATTGAAATATAAATGGCAGGTAGCTGTAAAGTAGTGGATTTACAGTGAACTGAACGTTAATTTTGTACTACATACGTCTATAAGTATGCATGCAAGTCTGCTGAGCTCATTCACGTTACTCTTTTTTCAACAGCATCAAACAAATTATTGTATTTCTGTGTCTCGCTAAATTGAATTAAATAAACAAATGGGCAAAGGCATAAAACCGACGTCACACGTGCAGGCAAGTGCCTCTCATACCTGAGCAACATTCAAGCACACTGTTTGTGCACTTATGTATATGAAGGTAAGTATGTATACATATGAGTGTGCTAGTCAAGCGTGCTGGTGTGAATGAACACACACTTCACGTGACACACACAATGACACGACAAGAATTGCAAGTGGGGAAACCACTAATAGCAACACAAATACACCCGTTGCTTAGTTGCTTTGTACATGCTTTGCTTGACTATATATGTAGATAGATATGAGTGCACACTTAAGTACCTACGTATATATGTATGTTTGCACACTGAAGAGTGTTGACACTTCCGCTCTAATTACGATGATTTTATATATTTTCACATAAAGCTAAAAAAAAATCTATACATACACATACATACATATGTTTGTTATAATGTACCTAGTACTCTATGGATATTGATTGGAAACGACAATCAAGTGTCTGATAGAGCTATGGCCTGCAGCAATGTTACTCATACGCCCGAGTAACCCCAAAATAGAGCGTTGACCAACTAAAAAGCCAACGGGCGCTTCTACTTTTATGCTTATACAAATATGTAGCTTTGTATGCAAAGTAACGCTTGCATGGGTAAATGCACAAACATGCACACATACATATGTAGATATCCTCACGTGCTGTCGATGGTGGCGTATTTTTGGGTAGATGGGTATTAGCGTTTGCCATGCTCAAAGCTGTGAGATTCTGTGCTTCCCTGAATAAAAAAAAATACTTTATTTTTATATATGTACAGTAGAACCCGTTTATAACGACTGCGCATTAACGACCTAACGCCTCTAGCGACGTAAATACAACCTCAAGTTTGGTTTTTATACAAATTACTATGAAAGTTCATCCGTTTAATACGACTCCGCTTTAAGCTTTTATGAATAAATTGAACGGTTGGAACGACGAAATCTTTAACAATTTACAGAAAATGAGATGCTTGGCACAACATGTTGTTACATGTTATGCAGTGACTGAACATCGAAGGCGCATAAAGCGTCTATAACGACGTTTGTCTTTTTCATTCGAATTTTTTTCGACAGACTTTAATTTTGGATTCATTTTAAATAAAATTTTGCATTTTTGCTCTAAAAAAATTCTTAAGTAATATGCTTTCGATAGATGAAATGTTTTGGCAGTTGGTTAGTGCGCAAAAATGTCCTATAGTAGAATAATATAAAAATAAATTAAAAAGAGCAGTTCTCACCGGTCCTTTGGAAATCGTTACAACCGGATTCTACTGTACGTTCATATCGCTAGCTGAGAGTGAAATGTTGCTAAGGGCCGTTAACTTATATACTTTAAAGTAAAGTTAAATCATTAGTTAAACTTTACACAAAATTCCATAGATATTTCTTTGGTTAATTTTAACCAATGATTTAATTACAGGTACCTTACCTTACGGCAAGAAAAACCTAATGGCAATATTTCTGAAATTTTAATTTGAAATTTTGATGCGGAAATTCTCAAAACATCCAGATGCATTACTGCATCATAAAAAATTTTGAAAAATTTTTTTTTTTCACTTACTATTTTTTTTTTTTGGCTGTGTCAACGTACATATACAGCCCGCGACAAAAGATAGCACATCAACATTTTTACAAGTTTTAACTAAATTTATTTTGCTTTTTCTAAAGTTCATTAGTTTTTTATTAAAGTTCAGCTCTTTATCTAAAAAAAAAAACCATATAAGTCCCAAATTGAAACTTTGTACAAAAATTTAAAAAATTCCACAAACTTTACATCCCAATTCCAAGTATTTTAATTAGAATTTCTAATTTCATTTTTGGTATGCAGTTTAATAGCTTATTAAAATCTAGTACAAAGTTTAAGTTGCTAAAAAATCGCATTGATTTTTGATAATTTTTTTTCTGACGGTGTTATGCACTCTTTTCCGTATAAAAAATTAATTTGTATGGAAAAAAATGCATAACACCATCAGTTAAAAAATGATAAAAAATCAACGCGATTTTTTTGCAACTTTAAACTTGCTTTTTATTGCACTAGAATTTAATAAGCTATAAACTGCATAAAAAATAATTTTAAAAATTAAATTTAAAATGCTTGGAATTTGGATGTAAAGTTTTGTGGAATTTTTGTACAAAGTCTGAAATTTGGATTTTTGTGGTATTTGTTAGATAAAGAGCCATACTTTTATATAAAAGTAATGAAAATTAAACAAACAAAGATAAGTAGCCAAAACTGTTCAAAATGTTGAGGTGCTACCTCTACAACACTTATCCAAGTCATGTTCTTTAATATTCCAAAATTTCGTTATGCACACAGTCATCTAGTTTCCGTTAACCGTTAGTTTTTTTCTAGTGCACTGTTATGGTGAAAAGTTCTTTAAAAAAATGGGGTTTTAGCAATTTAAGCTTCAACGCTTTTGAGTTTGATAAGTTTCAGTTTAATTTCGATTTATATATATAATACTCAAAGGTTTAGATAAGTACAATGGGTATTACAGCAAAAACTTAAAGCATTTTTATAATTAACAAAAAACCCTGCCACTTGAGAACACACAGACCATAGCCAAGCTACACAGCAAAAAATTTAACAAATTTGTAATATCTCTAGGACACGAGCAGGTTTCGCACAGACATGCTCCAGTAACAAGGACACGCTACATGCATATAGGACTTGCCATGCAAGGACAATGTGTGTCGAGCAACTAAGGAATAAAAACAAAAAATATGTTACAACAAACACGCATTCCACGACGATACGATGTCACTCCTTTTTCATTTCACTGCCACTCTTACAGGCATACATACATACATACATACATACATACATACAAACACACTCAAGTGCATGCATATAGACTTTTTGTATACGCACTTATATTACTATACAATAACAAGTACTAGTAATAGTGCACATAGACCACAAACTATATACATACATATGTACACACATACATATCAAAAAGAATCGGAGCATAAACTGAAATCCACTTACATGGTATTGCAGGAGTTGAATCGTGCGGATCTGGCTGGTAGCCTTCCTTGGGGAAGTAGTCAATTTTTATGCAATTGTATGTCTCGACTCCTAATTTATGTTGTGCGATTTTTATTTATTTATTTATTTATTTTTGTGGTTATTTTGCACATTTTCATTTCATCGCGGGGGGGTTGTTTGTGCAGTGCAGTGGCAATGTATTGCAAGTTGTTAACATTGTCGTCCATGTTGTTCATTGTCATTATTTTATTATTATTGCATTGTTAGTCGAATGCCACAAGTACAGTTAAATGGTTTGTATTTTTTAGACGTGCAAATGTTGGTGTTGGTTTTTTTTTGTATGTTTCCATTAAGTGAAAGTGAAGAATTGCATTGAAATGGAAAAAAGCGGAAATGTATGTAGATAAAAAGTTGAATGATTTTGTTTAGTTGCGTTTTTGAATAAATTGTAGCATAAGCAAATTTATTTTAACATATAAATATATCCGGAGCTTTCAATATAGTCCTAATCTGGGAATAATTGGAAGGCCTGGTTTCAGTCGCAGTTAGTTCTACTATATTTCACTGAATTACCAATTTTTAAATTACCAAAAAGTGAAGGTTGAAATGGGTTTGACGAAGACATCGAGCAAGGTAAGCAGAGGCACTTTTCTGGGAGTTGTTCTATCCCCGTTAATGTGGGCGCCTGTAATCAACAAGATCTTACTCAAGTTGAGAATTAAGGCTATTAGATCTTTCACTGCCATCTCGGGTGGGTGAAATTTTCGATTGAAAGAAATTCACAACTAGCTTAGGGACTCCCTATTAGGGAGGGAAAGCTTAAAGTAAATCCAGAGAACACAGGTTTGCTACATTTCATAAAAAAAGTATAAAATGTTAACCTGGTCTCCATGCAAGTTGGGAAAAGTATTCTAACTCTTTAACCCTTTAACCAAATATTTGGAGTTTTTATGTACAGACGACAATCAATCAAAACAAACACAATCTGTACGACGGCTTATCCCCTCTCCTTCGATTCACGCATTTGATCTACACAGCAGTCATTAGACCAATAATGATCTATGGCTTCTTGTTATGGCGGTACATAAAACAAAGGATCCACGACTGTACTAGATAAATTTCTAAACTTATATAATATCGAATAATTCGGGGTAGAAATCTCATTTGTACACAGGAATTTACCTGCTATAATCGGTAGATCAGTTTATGTAGCTCCTCGGGTCAAAAAGAGCACACATCATAATAGAGTAAGACAGGTGGAAGAAAGGACCCTGATCCAAACACGAAACCTATAATTTCTCTACGGATGGAGTTTGAAATAAGCAGAGGAGTTGTTGTATTTTGTCCCGAACATGGGTTTGAATAGCCAAGTAAGCTTCCGTAATACTGAATCAGCCATATCTATGCTGCAACCAAAGCAGTCGAAATGGCAGCGTCTCTAAAATGTTATAAATAACTTGTGAATATTGTCATCAACGCCAACTATATTCCAGCACTTCCAAGGCTGGATGTGAGTTATTTAGCGGACAATGTTTCGCGCTATCTCGCGCGTTAAAGTTACGACTGACACATAGTGAATAATAGATACTCGGTATGTGACGAAGGTAACTCCAAAGTCACACTATAACAACTCAGGTGCCACTGTCCAGCTTTAGGAATATCGCGACTCGGAAAGCTTGGCTCTACTTTCTTCTTTTCACTGAAGGAAATAGTAGACAAAAGGACCGGGAAATTGCCAATACTCACTAAAAAGAGCATTTGGAACGTAGTCATAAAACCTAGGCTTCCACTTTCTTGGTAACACAAACAAATCAAAAGGCAATTATAAGTCATATGACTCAGTTAAGCAGTCTGCTTAAATCAACCAAAATAGTTTTTCACGAAAAAGAACAAACACAAGTAAAACGCAAAGCGTCATAGCATCCTTTTAAATGGCATATCGACTTCAAGCTACCTGAAATGCGTCAAGTGTCCTTGACAGCGGTTTGCAACAAAAGAAATTAATCAGATATTATACGAAAACAAACCACGAGAAAACCGAGACAGCTTATCAAAAATGCAATTAAGTGAGTTGTTATTAAAAGAGCAACCGCGGAAGCGATAATTTTCAACAAAGAAAAAAAAAATGATAATTAACTTGAAATGAATGAAAGCTATTTAAGCGGTTATGCACGCATATATATGTACATTAGGGTGGTCCAAAAATGCATGTGAAAAAGTAAAGTCGTAAAGTTTTTATGCTCTCACGCCCTAGGATTGTTCTATACCGCTCAATGCGCCCAAAGTTTTCCTTGTATTTTATATGGGGAAAAAACAAATTTCGTGAATTCTTAAAAATCAATATTTTTCTATCGGAGACTGTTTATCTGCAAGAGGTTCCCAGTAGTAATACCCAGTTGTTTATTTAATCATTTTTAACCCACAAAAACCCCGAAAAGTTCTATGGAGGGACCAATAAAAAATCGTTTGTATTAAAATATTGTTAAATAAACAATTTGGTATTATTACTGAAAGTCTACTGAAGAGAACCAGAGTTTTCCGATCGAAAAATATTGATTTTCAAGAATTCTATACCATTACTACAAAAATTTTCTTCCCCCATATAAAAGTACAAGGAAAACTTTGAGCGCTTTGAGCGTCCTCCATTTTTTTTTTTGATTTCAAAATAATAAATATGGGCATACTTTTTCCATATAAAACAATCCTAGGGGGTGAGCGCACTACAATTCTGACTTTACTGTTTTTGGACCACCCTAATGTACATACCCATGTACGAGTACTTTATATGAGAACGTATGCACACGAGCACAATCGCAAGATATGCCAATCTGAAGCTTGCGGCTGTGCGCATTTAATATTTTAAAGGTGCACGTGTCACTTATTTTGAAGTTGACTGCTGCCGCTGGAATTGCTTTCGAGGTATCACCTGGCATAAATAACGACGATTGCACATATAAGACTTTTTTTAAGTTGCTGGAAGAGAGAACAGCTAGATATTTCATGACGTGTCGGTGAGGGATGCTATCAGAAAAATTCTGCTATCACTGGCCTCCTAATGAGTGGCAGTAGGCCATTTATTTATTAACGGCAAAGCCGAAATCGCGGTTGCTCAGCTTATCGAAATCGAGTTTATTATCAATTATTGTTATTTATATTGACAAAGTCGTGGTTACTGTGTCTTCTCCACTAATTTGTGTTTGCATTCATATTCGTACTTTTACTTTGCTCAATATTTTTATAATAACAAATTTTCTATGACTCTATGTATTGTGGCACTACGCGGAGGGAAGCGTAAAAATTTTAAATTTCTTAAATATTTAAAAGGTGTTTGTGAATTACATTAGAAGCAAAGCGGAAACGGAAATAATTTTCTGTCGATTAGTACCTACATACATATAATTCTATATTGGTGCAACATCGCACTTCCGCACAGCAGCAAAGCGCAAAGCAGTGCGGAAGAGGAGTGACAAAAATTATGTCACTGCGGTTGATTTTATTGCCGCGGCAATCGTCAGTAATTGTCGATGTCTTTCAGTCAGTTGTCAAGTGAGCGAGCGAACGCCTCGGGGTAGTGGTAGACAAGTGCTTCACTTGCGAAGACGAACAGAATGGTGGCATTCGTCTAGCAGCGTCAGTCACTACCCCCCCACCAGTAGTTTTACAACTTTGTAAGTTGGTATTTATTCTTATTCCATTTCTCATTGCTGTTTGCTGTGTGTGTGTGTGTGTTTGTTGGTTGTCGATTTTGACGGATGTGAAAATTATTACCGGGGATGAAATCAGATTTCAACAACTTTCTGATGCTTTATTTCTCTATTTCTTGTTGCTTATTTAGTTGTGTGTTTTGCTGGAGCCACACCAAAAAGTTGCCACCACAAAGTTTTAAGACCATCTCATTCATTTATCTAGTTTCAGTGCAAATTCTTTATTAGATAGCGAAACAGTTGATTTTTCATTCATACAGTCGTAAGCAGTGGCAGCAGTATGCTTTCATTTCTATTTTATACGCACGTACTATGAAAATCCTTTTTTTTTTTCTAGGAAGGCAGTTTCGCATCGCGTTGAGACATCGAATACTACCATAAATACAGGCATCAATGTAATATTTTCTTTGAATTTCATCTCGAAAACGGGACTGACCTCATGTTATATATTTTTTTATGCTCCATCAAGTCCATTCACAAAATTTTTCTGGCATGTCTAGGTTTTAAGAAACTAAAAACCAAAAAAAAGTGAATTTGGACTTCATTTTTTCCCAAGAAAAAAACACCTGTTTGAAAATGTAATTTGATTTAATTGATAAATTAAATATTGCAATATGAGTGTCAAACTAAAAACTATGTTTCAGAAAGTTTTTTGTAGCGGGTTGCCACCTATTTGAAAAATTTTATCCGTTAAACTGATAAAGTAAATACTAAATTAATATACCTTTAAAGAAAGTGGACAATATTTACATAGAATCGAGTTATAGGTATATAAATAAGATTTCAAAGATTAAATACCTTCGAAAAGATATTAACTAACACCCTTATTCATAAAAAATAATGTATGTTTCATAAATCGAAAATTTGTTTGAAAATTTCAGCTCATAAAGCTCCTCAAATCTATTTTATAATTTATAAATGAAGCCATAAAGGCAGTGCCACACGATTAGGCATTTGCCCAAAATTGAGTGCTAATTGTATCTCAATCGTGTGAATGCACAAGTGTTTTTCTTTATCCCAATCACAAAAAAAAAAAAAAATTGTTAAAATTTTTCAATAGAAGTTCGCTGTATTGTACCAATCGTGTGACACTGGCTTAAGAGTTTTTGGAGGGAGTAGCAACAGAAAAATACTTTAAAGTACTCTTAGAGAAAGGAACTGCAGAAAATTTAACAAATATTTTATCCGCTTTTCACTGAAGGCAACTTTTGTGATATATTTATTTAATAATTTTTTTTTTCTTTTTCTACTCAACTCAGCGACATGAATTACACGAATTGGATTTTTTCTTCGGAAAAGCTACGTTGAAACTATTTTTTTTGAATTCGACATTAATTTTTTTTTCGCCAAAAACTGCTAGAAATTTTACTTGAAATCAGTATCAACAAATCTATAAGATGAAATTTTTTTGAACCGTGTAATTGAAAGCTAGCAAATATTTAAGCGTTCCACTGCAATGTTTTTACAAGTATTTTTTGCTAAAATTTGATACTCGCACAAAATTAATATTATCTTGCAGAATAAGAAACATCAATCTTCATTTTGGAGAGAATATTTTTTTGTATTTTTTTTTAAGTAAGTATGTACCTTGTAAAGCGGTGCATAATATCCACAGACTAGATTTCGTGTATTTTGTAATGTAAGCGCCATCGTCCATCATATTGAAATTAGCTGTGCCATTGTAATTGGCATTTGGCAGTTTTTCCTCGGTGAAAAGCCACTGCGGACCAGCAATTGCAGCCATAACGATGGCAACGGAAATGCTTAAAAAGAAAATAGTGAAAATACTAATTAGATATTTAATGCTAATCGTTTGGGTAGGGTTGTTTGAATTAATATTATTTGCAATTTTTAATAAAGTCGATTTATAATGGACTACTTGTATGTGCATACAATCATCGTTCGTGCAATTTAACCCCTTTAGGGCCGGTAAATAAATGTCTGGGTATCCCTAACTACAGGTTAAACATTGTTATCGACTTCCTGGTATACATTTGTTAAGAACATGCAGTTAATGTTAACCAGACATTGAGTAACCGACTCTTAGACTTTTTTCTTAAATCGCCGATTTATGCCACATCACGCACCTTAATACAAAATAGATAGAAAATTTTAAAATTAAATACGCATCGTAATCTTACGTTTTGAAGATTTTTGAAGGAAAATATTTTTATTAGATCAAAAAATATATACAGGAAAAGGCTAAGGCTCACTTCCAAAAGCGGAAGCGCTCAGAGAAGGAAACAACGTTCTAAGGGAAGAGAAAAAGGCCTACGCTATGAGCGGTTTAACGCAAGGTTTTCCAGCAAAACGTGGGACCTCCACACTGCTGCTCTGACGCCAGCTGTTTACGAAGTTAGTCGAATTAACAAAGTGCGCTCTACTGTACACCTGTACAAGGCCGCAATAAGCAGGATAAGCGAGCGCCACTGGATTTCGTAAAAAGGGGAGAAATTCCTAATCGCCCAAGACTCGGGGGCGCAATACATGTTTACACGGATGGAAGAAAACTTGTCAAAAGAGTTGATGGTAGGGTTTATTCGTAACAATAAGGTATACCATTCAGCTTCCGCCTTCCTAACCACTGCGGGTTTTCAGGCGGAACTGATGGCTATCTCAAAGGCCGCATCACTCGTATAGTGTGATACGATTCCTGGCATCATTGCGACATTCAGGAAATTTGCAAATATACACATCGTCGCTTAAAATATAAAACCGCGTATCAAGATAATCCAAAACCGCATATGTGAGGTTGTCCAAATTTTAGAGTATATAGTAAAAACTGCCTTAATGCAAAACGGTTCTCTCTTTTATAAAGTAGTCCCATTTTAGGCTAGTATTATAAAAGGATAGCTTGGTACGAGTGGATAAGGCTTGATATGTGGTGCTTTCTTAGGAACAAATGTCAGTGACACGGTTTTTTGCAGAACGACGATACGCGGTTTTGTACCTTAAACGGCGATAGTAGTACATATATTGACAGTCAGTGCCCTAGAGCATACCGATGTATACACATTCATACATATGCTCTTTTTAACAAACTTCAAAAATAGGAGAAGGTTTTAATTTCGTAGGATTTTTTTTTGTATATGTATGCTACCGCATAACTTTGGACCACGCTAACCGATTTCTATAAATATCTTTTTAAAGGAAAGTTGATACCTCACAACCGGTACCACAATAACTTCGTTTAGATCCGATCATTGAATTACGAAGAGGTTAACGGTACTCTTAAATTTGTATGTAAGAATTGAAGTCGGTTTTGTTTTTTGCTTAAAAATTGCTTGTTTAATCCTCCTTGTCTGGCAGTGAATGCAAGCATCGTTTTTTTTTGCTGCTTTACCCTTTAGAAATGTGAGTATTAACTCCTGTAACTGGGACAAAGTTGATAGTAGTAACTGACGTCGGAATTGTTTGTGAGCGTAACTAACTGCCTATTTTTGAATTTTGTGGAATTTAATTAACACATTTTTTATGTTGAATGAAATGCATTTCCCACCACTTTAATTAAAATTTTCTCCCAGAGGAATCAATTGAGACTTGACGTAGTTGTGTATGTATGTGCACATATGTAGATATGTATGTATAGCGGAAAACACTTTGACCATACAAACGAGAATGCGATAATTGATTAGCATAATTTTTATGAGTAACAAGCGAAAAGCGAAAAAGTAGACTTCAATTACATACCTATGTGCGTACCTACTTTTATGTATAAATTTATCAGTTAATAAATGCAAAGCCAACATAACATCAAATTAAGTACATATATGTCGTAAAATCAATGTGGCTACTCACCTTGCAGCAACAGGTGTCAATATCCACAAATAGCCACCGTTGCCGTAACGTTGCAAGCTGTTTCCATTTCCATACTGGCGCATACGCTGCTGCTGATATTGACTCATGCGGCCGCTTGGCCTCGTTACGATGAATTCTCGAGATCGATTCATCGCCTGCGGTTGAATGCCATTTAATTTATGCGAATTCGAATGCGCACTAGTGTAGCCGCCATTCAAATCACTTGTTATCGATGAGTTGCTCTGGTTGGCATTGCGGTCGGCCCGAGCCGCCACCGCCGCCGCCGCCGCCGCCGACGCTGCCGAAGTGAGACTGCCCGAAATTGTGTTAATGACGCCGGATGTGGCAATACCGTTTACATTCATTCGACTTGTGTTGCCGTTGTGTTGTTGCACGCTGGCTGCCACTGGCATTGAGCGCGGCAGTGTGCCATAAACCGATTGCTGTGCTTTTTGTTGTTGCAGTTGTTGTTGTTGTTGTTGAAATTGTTCTCTACGTCCAGTCTGCGTGACGCTGCCACCGAAATTTGCTCGTTCGATTGACGCCGTTGCGGTGAGTTTGTGCAGCTGCGGCGTGTGATTGTGCAACAAGGAGGATCGCGCAATGTTGCAAGCTTGCATTGTGTGATTTGTTGTGGTGTTTTGTGTAGTGCTTATGTTATTACCGTTGTTGTCTTTTGGAAAAGTTGGCTGCGGCTGATCCTTTAAATCGCCAATGGCGCTGTTCGCATTTGTGTTTTTTGGCGAAGTTAAGGAATTAATTAATAACTGTTCTTGCTTTTGCTCATCGCCGCTCACATTTTGGGTGGATGCAACACGAAAAACATTCGGAACCGTGCAATTCTCGCGCATAATATGTACTTCAACAAGCTCGAGTTAACGCTGCCAAATATGTTTGTATATTTTTATAAGTGTGTGTTTTTTGCTATTAAACCGATTTTTGGTCGTTTTACAATCACAGATGATTTATTTATTCGCACTCAAATTACCAATATTCAAATGCACGCGATATTGCTATTCGACATTTATTTATGAAACGCCGTAATATACATACTTACATATGTAGGTACTGATTTGTGAAATTAGTAATAACCTAAAAAAAAAAACTAACAACATAAAAAATAAATCTCAACAGCAGATATTTCATGTAATAAAAAGTTTCGTGTTTCTAAGTGGCATTCATTGACAAATGAAAATAACGATAGTTTCTGCTTATCCCGGTTATTTGAAACTTACGATGCGATAGCTCAGTTATATACTTACAGTAACAAAAATAGTTATACGGAAATTATAGCCTCGATTTGTGGGACTTAATTTACTAAAAAAAGTTTAAAATCAGGGTAGAATATTTTCCGAAATATTTTCGCTGCCTTTAAAATTTAATTACAATTAAAGCCCTCAAGAAAAGGTAAAGTTAAGAGCATTAGTTAGCTTGGCTGGGTTCCTTTTGGCCCCTCGCATATCGCGCAACTGGTCTAGGGTTTCGTGAAAAGTTTATTTTGATATATAAATTTTAAATCCTACTCGTAAGGTATGACCGTTTGATCCGGGATATAGAATTTTGTTTACCAAAGTATACTGCAGGGACGTTTAAATGCCGGTGGAGTGCAATAAGGCCCACAGAAATAACGCCTATGGGCTTTATTTCCCAAAAAAAAGAGAAATAAAGCCCATTGGCGAAATAGCGCCCACCAATAAAAGGCAATAAAGCCCGCGTTTAATTTATTTTTCGAAAAGGCAATAATGCCCGCTGGCTTTCATTCTTTTTTTCTAGTAAATAAAGCCCATGGGCGTTATATCCGCGGGCCTTATTGCACTCCACCTATAATGCCACCTAAACGCGTTAATTTTGGTTCCTAGATTGCGGATCTGTAAACCAGTTTTCTACACCATAAATCTGGTAATTTTCCCAAAAAATTTTCGTTTTAAGTTTGCCTAGCGCAGGTAAAAAATATTCAAATTTTAGCATGGAAAATGTTACTCATACGCCATGTACGAGTATGTGACGAGTACGGCCATGTACGATATGGCGTATGAGTAACATTACTTCCTGCTCCTATTTTATACAAAAAATTATTGCAATTTTTTCAATAGGCTTTAATACAAAAAAAAAATACAAAAGATTAATTATTTTCTTTCTTGTTAAAAATTTAAATTTTTCGACACTTCCATTGCCGAAATAAATTTGAAATAAAGTCCTACTCCTCCACTCATTCTCCAGGACGTAGTCCACGGTCTAGAATAGCAGGCATCTTAAACAGTTGGCACAAATTCAAATTTACTTTTTAATAACACCTCCTTCTAAGTGCATTTAAGACTTCCGGAAATTAGAGAATTAGAGTTATCTTCGATTCTTTAGTTACATATATGTATTAAGCTTTCATTAGACTGAAGTTACAGTGCTTGTTTCTTAAATAACTTCAATTAATTTATTTTATATCTCTATCGCAAAAAAACACCCTCAATTAATTTTTATGATTAGTTAATTACTGCACATCTGCAAGTGTATCTCTAAACGACGTGTCGACATTAGTACATATGCATATACAGTGACGAAAACATAAATAAGGACGCGACATTTTAACAAGTTTTTTTTTTTTTGTTTATCTAATATTTATTATTCTTTTACCTAACAAAAATCAGGTAAGTCCTAACTCCAAACTTTGTGCATACATAAGGAGAATCCAATCAAAATTTTGGCTTTTCAATTCTTAGAACAAAAATCCAATTTTGTAGCCCGTTAAATTTAAGGAGAATAATGTGCAAGTTTGAAGAAGCTAGGACTTACTGTAGATGATACAAAAAATTCCGGAAACACGTAAACTTATTATTGGGTCGTTGAGTACGATTCGGTATTCTGTTTTTCCAGATCATGTAATTTCCCTAAGATATTTTCATTTTCATGAAAAAATAATTAAAAATTTAACAAAGAATTTTTTTTTCAATATCAAACCTATTCTTTTTCAAAAAATCAAGCTTCTAACGATGAAAAAATATATGTAAATAAACAAGTTGTGAAATTAAGTTACGTGTTTTTTTGAAGGTCTTGTAGATTTTCTTCACAGAAAAAATTGTCGAAAATACTTTGTATAAAAAAAACTTTTATTTAAAAGGCTATAAAACTGAAAAAAACTGAATTTTTGATGCCATTTTGTTGAGATTTAATGAAGTTTCCTAATTTTTGTACAACGCTTGAAATAGTTTTAATTAGATATGGAGCTATACTTTCATAAAAAACAATAAACGTCAAATAAAAAGGAAAATGTCGCGTCGCTATTTATATTTTCCCCACCGTATGTAAGTACATATATACATATATAGCTACATTAGTCCTTCCATCTGCCTGCATGTATGCACTTCCACAAGTGCATACATACAATTTCCACTTTCGTATTCCCATACATTAGACTGCATTAGCAATCAAGAATGCAATCAAACACGTGTGCTGAATCCTTAACTGTAATTAGATTGAACTAAATGTGGAGCAAATAATTTATGTGAACGATCCTCTGTGTGTGGGTGCTCTTTGATGTATGAAAGTGAAGAGAAGAAGTGGTGCCGCATTGAAGTGCCACGCTAAATAACTCATTAGGTAGACGTTGCTCTACACTTTCACATCTAAGTAGAAAAGATGCAGGATGTACGCACGTACATAGTCGAATAAGTTGGCGGCGGAAATGAAAGCATTCGCACTTAATGTGCCACATTTAGCATTGATATGTATGTATGTATGTATATGTGCAAGGGAAAGGGCTAACAACAATCTCTGGCAAAATTAGAGTTTAAAAACAAAACCAGAGATTTGGGGTAAGTGGCTTCACTCGCTCATGAAAAGCATACGTTTCAAAGCGATAATTTCCTTGAGCTTTGCAAGTCGTCACACAAACAAATAACTTACAACTGAAACCAAAAAAAAAGTGGCTTACTAACGAGTTAACGGAAATTAAATTTACATCTTTGCAACATTTTCCCGCCTTTTGTTTTAAAAAAATACGATTTCGTACAAAATGCGTCAAGTGTGCCGCGACGCGTACTGCTTAGCACACAGCTGTTTTCCGCTTTCCGTTACCGGTTTCCGCCACGCGCTCATTATTCAACATGCTCACATCTCAACATACACTTTTTTACTTTTGCTTGGCTGTTCGCTTCAATGCGATTTACGCACAGCCCGCTCGTGTAGGTGTCAGCTGTTGTTACAAATACTCCTCAATAATCACATACCAACAAAGAGGATTCGCCGCACTAACAGGTTGCACCAAAATTTCCGAGATAAGGACCGTTGTGCGCAAATAACGTCGACTGACTGTTTGAAAACTTTTGATAAACGTTGATTATAGGTGAGTTAGTGTGAAAAGGATTGACCAACATGCAACATGCTCGATGTTGCATATGAAGCTAAAAAAGAAGCGCTCACTTTTGAATAGCATTTTGCATGCAACGCATTTGCTAAAGGATTAAAATTCGTTATTATAGCGCCTTTCAGCGCTATGCTTATATATATATGTATGTATATTAGGGTGCTCCAAAATAAGTAAAGTCGGAATTTTAATGCTCTCACACACTAGGATTGCTCTATATCGAAAAAATATATCCCTATTTTTTTATTTTGAAATCAAAAAAAATATTTAGAGGTCGCTCAAAGCGCTCAAAGTTTTTCATGTATCTGACATGGAAAAAAACTTTTCGTCGAAATGTTATGGAATTCTTGGAAATCAATTTTTTTCGATGGGAAAACTCTGGTTCTCTTCAGGAGACTTCCAATAACAATATCCAATTGTTTATTTAACAATTTTTTTAATGCTGAATATTTTTGTTTATCCCCCATACTTTGAGCGCTTTGACCGACCTCTAAATATTTTTTGATTTCAAATAAAAAAAATAGTGGCATATTTTCTTCGGCAAAGAACAATCCTTGGGGATGAGAGCACAAAAATGCCGACTTTACTTTTTCACATGCATTTTTGGACCACCCTAATTTATATGCATACATATATTTTCAAATCCGCTTTGCTTCTGCATACACACATACATACTACATGTGTATATGCATGTGTTCGCTTTGTCTAATACTTCCGTTAAACAGATGTATATATGTATGTAGTACTTATATATAGTTTCCCTGCAAACCATTTTTTCAGAGTATTCTGAATTATAGAAATTTTAAGGAATTCGCAAAGATCTCATCCGATTTTTTTGCCGAATTTTCTAAAACTAAAAAAAAAACTGTGCACACTTCAATTCATTTACGAAATTTCGGAAGAAAATCGGCAAAGAAATGAAAATAATGCTGCTATGTGAAAAATTTCTTGCAGAACTTTTTCAGAATTTTCTTTATTTTTCGTGCAGAAATTTCTTTAAGAGTTCGTGTCAACCACTTCATATTAGTAATTGAAGAATCGTAAAAAAATCGTTACAGTAATGAAATACTCCTAAAGATTTCGTTAAAATTTCGGGAATTTTGGTTTGCAGGGTTGTTTGTCTCTTGGTTTCGGTGAGTGTCAGCAACTTAAGTGAAGACTCATTGAGCTAAGGAGAGAAGTAATTGTTAATACAGGAAGTGCTAAGCTTTCTTGCTTGTGTGTGTGTGTGTGCAAATCCTAAGTAACTCTTTTGACAATACAACGGTAGCTTCGAATAGCCACGAAAATGAAAGATCGAAATGTCTTTGTTCCCTAAGTGCAAGTACTACAGCTGCAATTAGCTTATGCGTGCAAATTGTGTTTTAATTATTTATGAATTTTATGAAACGATTATGTAGAACTTTTAATTTATTCACTATGGCATGCGGGCCTGCGTATTTATGGGGGTGAGATCACATAATAATACCAAGCTAGACAATTAAGCTATGTTTTGATATTAATTTTGCAGACATAAACGTTAAATTTGTCTTAGCTTGTAGCGTTTTGCAAATGCCTATCTAGAGGCTCACTAGCGCCCTACGAGACTTTGTTGTATTAATAGGCGACAGCGTACTTAGTAGAGATGCCAGATCGAAAAAAATCGATTTTTGAATCGAAATAAAAATAATCGAT